CACATCTTTATTTTTTGTAATAAAGTAACAGTTATAGGTATTCATATTTATAATACTTATCCACATGTTTCTAGTTTGTATATTCGGAATACGTGTTTGAGTTTCATACAAGTGCAAATCACATATGTTCTAATAAATTATATTCAGTAGCGATTTTAATTGAATATTTTGATTATTTATTTATTTTTTCAAATTAAAACTGAACTTTATTGACTGTGTCCTTTTCCAGACTTTTTATTAATTTATTGTAATTAATTATTTGCATGCAATTAAAAACTAATTTTAAACGATGCCAAAGAAGGATAACTTCTCACGCGCCTACATAAGTACACGCACCCATTTTTTTTAAGATCAGCGACCGTCTACGATGGATATATAACATCCACCATCTTCTACGACGAACTTTCTCTTTTTGCACTCGATATATTTTTAAATTTCGAACACAATTATGGATCGCAAAAAGACACAGCGCGGCCGCTGTGATCACTTCGCCGTCCGCCATCGCCGAAACTCCGAAGCGAAGCGAGAGGTAGGGCAGTATGTGGACGCATACTTCTCTCAATCATGCCGCAGCAATATTTAGGGTATCATCGCCGGGAACGCGAGGGGCAGCGGCATGGGCATAGTCTAAACGAGGTTATCATCATCATCATCATCATCATATCAGCCGTACGACGCCCACTGCTGGACATAGGCCTCCCCCAAGGATCTCCACAACGATCGGTCCTGCGCTGGCCGCATCCAGCGTTTTCCCGCGACCTTCACCAGATCGTCGGTCCACCTTGTAGCGGGTTTTCCCACTGAGCGTCGTCCATTCGAGAACCTTTCCGCCCCAACGGCCATCGGTTCTCCTCGCTATGTGTCCAGCCCACTGCCACTTCGGCCGGGCTATTCTTCGAGCTATGTCGGTGAGTTTAGTTCTCCTACGGATCTCGTCATTTCCGACTCGATCACGCAAACACCGAGCATGGCTCTCTCCGCTGGGCGACCTCGAGCCGTCCTATGAGACCCATGGTAAACGACCACGCCTCATTGCCATAGGTCATCACCGGCCGCACACTGGTTAAAGACTTTCGTCTTGAGTCTAAACGAGGTATTAGAAGTATACTAGCAAACCGGTGAACCAACCGTTCACCAAAAAAAAAATGTATTTAATTAATCGAGAACTTCGGAGATTTTGTGTGGTTTCGTTTGAAATAGAAATCACGTCATCATCATCATCAGCCTATTAATGTAGCCCCACAGCTGGGGCACAGGCCTTCCCTATAGATGGAACAGGGAGATTGGGCCGTGACCCACCACGCGGGCCCAGTGCGGATTGGTGGGTGCTAACGACCGCGAATGCAGCCGGGACCGACGGCTTAACGTGCCTTCCGAAGCACGGAGAAGCTCGAGATAGTAAATTTTTGGTCACCCATCCAATGACCGACCACTGCGAAAGTTGCTCAACTTCAACGATCGCAGCCGAACGCGCTAGCCACCTGCGCCATCGAGCTCCTCAAGAAATCACGTGATTTCTCGAAAACCGGAAGTGCTACGTTACTCACATCCGGTTTGTAGTGTTATCAGACTATTCTCAACTTGTAAGTTGAACATTCTCTTTATCTATCTGTTACGGTTTGGCCGCTGAAACAGCACCACGGACGGACGGACGGACTTGTCTATAGATAAGAGATAGGTCACCCGGCCTCTGCGCGCAGTGCTCCCGTTCCCTGGCGGCAGCGAGGTGAGTGCGGGCATCAGTAGCGCGGGCGTCCAACGCGGGTAGCGCCTGCAATAACCCCCGCACGCAGCCCTGCAGGCCTCCACTCAGGGAAGACAGCCGGGCTGCTAGCATGGCCGCCGATGCGGACCTCTCTATCGACCAGGGGGAATTGACAAATTAATACATAACTAGCAAACCAGCGAACCAAATCGAGCCCTTACCGCCAAATTATCGTAAGCGACATTCACCAAATTATAGTAAGCGACACTTCTGTCGAAATGCGTTTTTTGTGGAAACTAATGTTTTAAACCGTAACGGACCCATCTCTGTTGATGTTTCCCTCCAAAAGAACACCGTAATAATATAATAGAGGGAAGAATAGAGGGAAATATCGACGGAGATGGGTCCGTTACGGTTAAAAATATTAGTTTCCACAAAAAACGCATTTCGACAGAAGTGTCGCTTGCGATAATTTGACGGTGAGGGCTCGAAATGTTCGACGAAATCTGATTTTAAAAAAAAATGTATTTAATTAATTGAGAACTTCGGAGATCTTGTGTGGTTTCGTTCGAAATTCGTGATTTCTCGAAAACCGGAAGTGCTACGTTACTCGAATCCGGTTTGTAGTCTTATCAGACTATTCTTAACTTAAATATTCTCTTTGTCTATCTCTTACGGTTTGGCCGCTGAAACAGCACCACAGACGGACGGACGGACGGACTTGTCTAATAGATAAGACATAATAATTATGTTTTGTGGACTTTTTTCTAATAAACTTTTCTTTCCATTTAAACATCTAGCAGTTAAATGCTTAAAAATAAATAAAATCATAACTATAATCGCTATTTCTTCTTTCAAATATTTAATACTTGAAAAAGTATTCATTTGACACAAAATACATGAATCTAGTGCTTGCTGGATGATAACGGACCCAGCGTAGATTAATGGGTGATAATAGACCCAGTGCGGATTGGTGGATGATAACGGACCCAGCGTGGATTGATGGTTTTTTTATATTAACAAATCTTCAGATTAAGTTTATGATTTTCAGATCATTGGAGCTAAAGAAGTTTCACTTCAGTCGCGTAGTCATAAGCACACTCGCTTTTTTGCTATGAAAAAATGCATTAAAAACCTTAATAAATAGATTTTTTCTCACCTAACGCCCTATCCACGTCTCCCTCTACTTCCGTGGGGGGAATGGTCTCCCCCCTCAGACCACGTTGTAGCGCTGCCATAGAGTCTTCCACCTGCTTCTCTATGGAGGGGTGAAGAACTTCCGCACCGACTACCCTCTCCGAAGACTCTGGAGTGTCTATTTGACAATAAATATATAGATAATAAATAAATATTTCTAACACACACCATTTATGCCCAAAGTTATCACTGTAAGGCTTGTGTTATAGGACGCATGTACTAGAATAACATCTAAATAAGTAAAACTAGCCGTGCCCCGCGGTTTCACCAGCGTTTTTCTCGTTTTGAAATACCGAGATAAATATATAGGTAACAACTCTTAACATCTTACACACGTGATAACTTTTAAACGAAATATCCGATTGAGATGAAACAAAAAGTATTTTACTTCTACATAAATACTCTTGATACCATAATGCTTAATTTCGATAAAGATTAATATTACGATACATATTTAACGTAGTTTTTTTTTCTTCAGACGATTTAATAATTATTTTGAACACAAAATCGGTTATTGTGATTAAACCATGATAGCTAGATATATGTTCTCGGGGACTTTTTTGTAGGTCCTAATGGGATCTACAAACCCGTAGTACATCATTTTGTTCTATTGTCAATAGTTTTTGCAGCGCACGCAAAGATAGGTTTTCGATTTTACACCTTGTGTTACAAAATAGCAAATTTATTACGGATCCCTAATTTTGAAAAAAATATAGCCTATAGCCTATACAACACTGAAAGAATCATTCAAATCGGACCAGTAGTTCCAGAGATTAGCGCGTTCAAACAAACAAACAAACTCTGCAGCTTTATAATATTAGTATAGATATATATTACCGTATTGTATCCGGCATCGATCGCATCTCCCCCTCCTATCTCTGGCCGCTAGCGCCGCCGCTTCGTTGACTACGAGAGCTCGCGATATCGCCTCCGTTAACTGATTCGCTGGAACAAAACAATTACGTATATTAAACCCAGAGTGATTAGCATATCGTTTTAAATTTAATCTAATATATAAAATTCTCGTGTCACGGTGTGCGTAATTGAACTACTCCGAAATGGTTCGACCAATTTTCGTGAAATTTTATATGCATATTCCGTGGGTCTGAGAATCGGCTACTATCTATTTTTCATATCCTTAAGTGATAATGGCTGTCCACCTGTAACGTAGTGTTCTGAAACCTACAATGCGCCTTCGCGCCTTATTGAGTATTGTAACGTAGCGTTCTCATATGGGTTAGGAGGAATGTTATCCCAGGAAATTAATAGAACGTTACACACCCCTAAAATTTTTATTTGGATAATTTTTTTTAATGTGCTGTTAAAAATACATACAACCCTTCCCTTCTACCACTTGCCCCTTTTTTTATGGCGGTACGAAGTTCGCTGGGTCAGCTAGTAAATATATATTATAATTTTTATTTTTTTAAAGCATGTAACTGCTTGATGTTTAAATCTAAAGAAGATATAACTAGAAAAAAATCCACGCGAAAATAATCTTCTTTCAAATGTTTAATACTTGTAAATGTATTCATTTGACATTGTGGGTTACCTATAATGCGAAGAGATGGCGCTGCTTTGCAGCTTAAGAATGGCTAGAAGAATTTCGACGCGGTCCGTGAGGGTCGCGGTAGCATAATCGGTCAGTGCATTCGCCCGGATTGCGAAGGGTGCGGGTTCGAGTCCCGTCTGCTGCCTGGTCCGCGTGGATTTTTCTAGTTATATTTTTATTTTTTTTTTAGTTATATTTTTACTTTTTTCTAGTTATATTTTGTTTAAATATATATTACCTTGCGCGTGCGCCGCCAGCAGCAGCTGCCGTATGTCGGGACAGTCGGCGCCGTCCTCATATATATATATACATTACCTTGCGCGTGCGCCGCCAGCAGCAGCTGCCGTATGTCGGGACAGTCGGCGCCGTCCTCATATATATATATACATTACCTTGCGCGTGCGCCGCCAGCAGCAGCTGCCGTATGTCGGGACAGTCGGCGCCGTCCTCATATATATATATACATTACCTTGCGCGTGCGCCGCCAGCAGCAGCTGCCGTATGTCGGGACAGTCGGCGCCGTCCTCATATATATATATACATTACCTTGCGCGTGCGCCGCCAGCAGCAGCTGCCGTATGTCGGGACAGTCGGCGCCGTCCTCATATATATATATATACATTACCTTGCGCGTGCGCCGCCAGCAGCAGCTGCCGTATGTCGGGACAGTCGGCGCCGTCCTCATATATATATATACATTACCTTGCGCGTGCGCCGCCAGCAGCAGCTGCCGTATGTCGGGACAGTCGGCGCCGTCCTCATCGCTGCTCTCCACCGACGACTGACGCGTGGCGCGTAACTCCGACCGGACATCTATAATGGGTAGGATAAATACATCAATATATATTAGAATAAGAAAAAAAATTGTGTGTGTCGGCTCCGACGCACGACCGGAGTTTATACTCTAAAAAAGATTGTCTTTGAACAGACGCAAAACAAAATCAAGTCCGAAGAAGTCGGTTACAAGTGGAGATACCTCAGGAATCCTCCCATGGTTTCGACTATCATAGGTTCCATGTCACACATTTTATCATATAACATCAGCGATATTCATCATATATTTTATTATGTATTTCTGGAAACACACAATTTCAAAAATATCACACACTAGTCATCGTTTTGTAAATATGTATTATAATTCCATCTGTACTGAAAATCACTATTTACCGGCATTTCTCTATATTCTGTTATTTATTTGTTTTCATTAATTTTGCTCCTATTTTATTTATTTTTAGTTTATTTATTTTATTGACATTTGTGACAACTTAATGTTTTTTATCCGTCGCCATGGCTAAAACTGAAAGGTGCGCAGATGAGGTCGCGCACAAAAACGTAACGAGGTCATTGATGTCGTTCATCGATCGATTTCACTCCTCACATTTTTTCTCATACCGGGCCCCTTATATATACAAATCGATTCTTAAGGAGTAAACTCCAAAAAACGTGTAAATAGACCACACATCTGAAGTGTAGCTTGTTTTGTTAATAACCTAACATTAGGCGGTGCATAAGTGCTTGGCCACGGAGCCCCGGCGGGCGGGTGGAAACAAAGCTATGGGCTAGTTTGCGCGCATGGCCACGGTGCACAGCGGTTTTTCGGGCGGTTGAAAACGGCTAGCGTGGCAGGGTTCCCAACTTAGGGGTTTTGCCCCCAGATTTAGGGGCTAGAAGTGTTAAGAGACTTTTTTAGGGGCTGGAATTTTTTGGGGGTTCTTTTAGGAGCTTTTAACAAAACTTTCAATTAAATCGAAAAACAAAGCTCGTGTTATCTTTCAGTTTTGTGCGTAGAATGGAACGCAGCACGATATGAAACATCTGAACTCACTGTGTGGCAGGTTGTTTCCTAAGGCTCCATGGACTAAAGTTCTTTGCCTTCCACCAATCAAAACAGCTAAATAAGATTTAACCGCCTGTCAGCTCGTTTTCGTTTGATTTTCCATTTGGAAAATGTATTTATTCAATAAAATAATTTACTGTAACTAAATATGTAACGTTTTAATTTATGAACAACGAAAGAATTTAGGTAATAAGATAAGTAGGTACATATAATTTTCTATATTTAGAGGATTTTAGGGGAATTTAAAAAATACTTAGGGTAAAATTTTGGTAAGGGTTGGTAACACTGTAGCGTGGGACGGATCGAGTCAAACAAAATTTTTTGGACGAATTGAAGAGCGGCGGCATTTTACTATGGACACTGAAGCATTTATCACACAAATATTAAACCGACCACCTATATGGATGTCAAAGCATCCGCAACGCGAGTATAAAAATGTAATAAAAAGACTATGGGGAGAAATCAAACAGCTTTTAAAAGTATATTCTTTTATTTTTGTCTGAAGTCTTTTGCTGCACCAGTAATTTTGTTGTATTATATTTTATTTAAGTCATAGTCAACAACAGTCTACGCGTGAAATCATAATTTGTAAACAAACAAAATAAAGAATTTCTTAGAAAGTTAGGTTTGCATGATGCAAACGGTCGAGTTTATTACGGACTAGGATAATAAAGCGACAAAAGAACGTACACAGCTGCGCGATTGTCACTAATTTTGGCAATTTAAAAGGTACTTTTTACTACCTAATTCTTGTCATTATTGAGAGTGGGTGAATGCTATATGGAGTGTATCATTGTATGGAAAACAAACTAAACCAACCAAAGACGAGTGATTTCGATTAGGGAGTTTGTCGTTAAATCGAGTGCAGTGTTACCAACCCTTACCAAAATTTTACCCTAAGTATTTTTTAAATTCCCCTAAAATCCCCTAAATATAGAAAATTATATGTACCTACTTATCTTATTACCTAAATTCTTTCGTTGTTCATAAATTAAAACGTTACATATTTAGTTACAGTAAATTATTTTATTGAATAAATACATTTTCCAAATGGAAAATCAAACGAAAACGAGCTGACAGGCGGTTAAATCTTATTTAGCTGTTTTGATTGGTGGAAGGCAAAGAACTTTAGTACATGCAGCCTTAGGAAACAACCTGCCACACAGTGAGTTCAGTCGTTTCATATCGTGCTGCGTTCCATTCTACGCACAAAACTGAAAGATAACACAAGCTTTGTTTTTCGATTTAATTGAAAGTTTTATTAAAAGCCCCTAAAAGAACCCCCAAAAAATACCAGCCCCTAAAAAAGTCCCTTTTAACACTTCTAGCCCCTAAATCTGGGGGTAAAACCCCTAAGTTGGGAACCCTGATCAAGTGATGCCACATGAAGTTTAGACTGTACTTACATATTTTATTAAGACAATACATAAAAATAAATTTATATATGATTGTCACCCTTTTGGATTTTACGTTGCGTTTCAAATTAACTTCAATATGTTGAAGTATATAATCAAAACTTCCAATACTCATTCTAGTGTACTCATAAAATTTGTCCGTATACTTCCTATAATCTGCATAAAGATTCAAAAATTCGCCACTTTTATGACGTTTTTTATTTAATTCATGCACTCCGTCTCTTGAATTTAAAATGTCGTGCATAAAATACGAACAGCTATCAAGGCAACTACGCATCAGTTTAGTTAGAGCCATCCTCAATACGTCCACTTTAGTCAGCCGCTGTAGCCGCTACAATGCGAGGAATGTACGTGGCATGCCACCCGCACCCGCGCTTAGCCTAGCCCGTCTACGTGGCCAAGCCGTAAGGCATAGGGGAATGGAGCAAGGCACGCATCACTCATATATATTTTTGAAGTTATACTTCTTTAGACGCGTTATGAAAAAATGATGAGAGTGAAATTTCGAGATGCGCGCGCATCACTGTAACCCAAAAGTAACAGCATGAAGTTGGCCGCGGGCGCGTTATGAAAAAATTATGTGAGTGGTTAATACTCAACCACTTAGTGGTTAATAGTCCACCATTATTAGACATCAGTTCGAAAGGTACTTTGAACGATCCACGGAGCTCCATAAGATGATCGCGTTGTCAAAAACAATGTTGGCACGCTCGTCGCCTCTGATCACTGTTTTCATATTTGTAATATTTATCCACATGTTTCTAGTTTCTATATAGACACAACGTGTTTTAGTTACTTACAAGTGCTAATTACATTTGGACTAATAACTTAAATTCAGTAGTGATTTTAATTGAATATTTGGAATATTTATTTAATTTTTCAAATTAAAACTGAACTTAATTGACTGTGTTAACTATCCTTTTCCAGTCCTTTTATTATTTTATTGTAATTATTAATTATTTGCATGCAATTAAAAAATATTTTTAATGATGCTAAAGAAGTATAACTTCTCACGCGCGTACATAAGTTACACGCATCCATTTTTTAAATATGTTTGACGACCGTAACAAATATGCATTTCATCTTTGCCACAGGAAGTTTCGCTTTACAGAGACGAAAGAGAACGTTTTTCCACTTTTTATAACCAAGAAAAAATATCGGCGCTGAAAATCACTTTGAAAGATTAGAGCGTTAACTATATATTATAATTAAATATAACTAGAAAAAAAAAACCACGCGGACCAGGCAGCAAACGGGACTCGAACCCGCACATTGTGGGCACCTACAATGCGAAGAAATGGCGCTGCCTTGCAGCGTAAGAATGGCTAGAAGAATTTCGACGCAGCCGTCAGGGCCGCCGTAGCATAATTGGTCAGTGCATTCGCACGGATTGCAAAGGGTTCGAGTCCCGTCTGCTGCCTGGATTTTTTTTCTAGTTATATTTTCTTTACATTTAAACATCAAGCAGTTACATGCTTAAAAAAATAAAATTATAACTATATATTCTTTTCTTCTTAAAACATTTTATTTCATAAAACGCATGCAAAGTGTATCCACCGACTGAGGAGCTCGATGGCGCAGGTGGTAAGCGCGTTCGGCTGTGATCATTGAAGATAAGCAACTTTCGCAGTGGTCAATCATTAGATGGGTGACCAAAAACTTACTATCTCTCCCTCCTCCGTGCTTCCGAAGGCACGTTAAGCCGTTGGTCCCGGCTGTATCTGCAGTCGTTAGCACCCACCAATCCGCACTGGGCCCGCGTGATTTGGTCATGGCCCAATCTCCCTATTCCATCCATGGGGATGGCCTGTGCCGCAGCAGCGGGGACATTAATAGGCCGATGATGACTCACCGACTTGCCCCAGAGTATCAGCGATGGCCAATTCAGACAAATGTTGATGCATGGGAGCCGGCACTCCCAACACTTCTCCAACGATAGCGGCTTTAGCTCTCAGCGCCGCCTCTATACCCTCGTCCAACCGCCTGAGCCGTTCTGGAAACGATTTCACGTCAAAATCAACCAATCCCAAATAATAGGGGTGATGACGGGGTACAGTAAACGAAATTCTATTTAGTCCGTCAGTTAGATGATCAAAAAATAGTGGACACGTATTTTTTCTTTGGGCAATCAACCAAAAACTGACAAAGTTATAGCGCGTCAAAGTTTGGGAGAAGGGGCTCGTGACGTCACTTTTGAGTGAATTTTCACTTATAAGTGTGCTCAAACGTGACGTCATGCGACTTTTCAAATCGATATATCTCTGCAATGTTTATATTATGTGAAAAAAGAAAAAATACGTGTCCAATACTTTTTGATAATCTACCAGATAGACGAAGATAAAAAAATTAGTCATCATCCCTATTAGGTATACGTAACACGAACCGCGGTAAAAGGTGATACCACGCAAACTGCGATCAAGTGGGCGGAGTTAGAAATGCGATCAAATTGCAGGCTTCGCACGGCTTGTGCATTTAGCCAATGTCGAGTGTTAAAAATGTTTACAAATTCTATAGCACTCGTGGTCAAAGTAAGTGGCAGTCAAGTCAATCCCCCTTTCCCTGTGTTTCAGTAAATGTGTGGGGATTTACTGGAACCTCCCCGTGGACTTGTTGAGGGAACGTCGAAAGACACTTTCCGCTATTTTGTTTCACTTGCCAACACTTGTGCATGTTCCCGAACACTTAGTGGTTAATAATCCACCATTATGAGACACTAACATACGCCACAACACAATTTTTAACAAGAAAAACAAAACTGTTAAAGTGACGCTTTCCGCTTTCCGCGGATTATAAACCCGTTGAAATTTTTTTTTTAGTATTTCCTATTTTCTTTGAGGATCTTTCAAATACTTTCTACTTGTTTTTTGTTTAAATGGTGAATAAAAAGCGTGATGTAAGTGTGTGTATGGTATAGTTACCGGTATAAGTGCAGACCGTAGTGGCCACGTGAGCCTCGGCACTCGGTAAGGCAGAAGGCGCGGGTATTAATCTGGGCGCCGCCTGAGTTAGGACGCGACCTACGCCGCCAACGCTGTGAGAAAGAAACAAAGAAAAATAATTTTATTTGAGACAAAACAGCAACAGAATATATAAACAAAACACAAATATCTAAATTTTTAAAGTAATATATGTTATTAACGGGTGTTCATGAATAGCTCCATCTAGCGACCGGATGTAACAACGCACGAAACAAAGGCGTGCTTCATCTGGCATCAATATGTCACCATTGGAAGCAGTTATCACCGGAACTGACGGGATGGCGCTGTATATCAATATAAAACCTGAACGCACGAGCGGCGCAGCGCTTCTTCCTTGACCAAGAAGCCCAACTTCGACTCCTAATATACATACATATACTCAAATAATGTAACGAAGTTGAAAAAATACATTTATTTATTTATTGAGAAGTTCACTTTATTTCCGTTGGAACCGGTTCAGTGATGACACGATATTGTATCGTGCACAGAAATAAAATAAACATAACAAAAATAAAATCCACGAACACCAAGAAACACCAAGAAGTGAATGACAATTCAGGGGGATGCCACCGTCTACGCAAATGACATAAGAAGTATGTGTATATGTCCAAATTAACTGTACAGAAATATATAATTATAAATAAATCAACGTGTTGAACATTCATACCAATTAGCTTTACCCTAAAGAAAGCACTGTAGGGTTATAGAAATACATACATGAAAATTATTATAATGCAGATAAAATCACAACATAAATACAAGTCTGCTTCGACAGACCTGAAAAGGCTGCGAAACGTCAATAAATAAATAAAGTTTCGTGCATTAAACCGTTGAAACTAGTTTTATTTAATGAGTGATATGCGTGAAAGCTTAAGAAACAAATAACATAAATACAATTCGGCCAAAAATAGAAAACAACTAAATATAATAATAATGTTTGCAATACATCTACTATAATTTGTCAAAACCAACGTACCGCAAATCACAAGATTACTCTATGTTTGCTTTCAATAATGTTTTTAAGTCAGGTTTTTTTTTTAATAATATATATCTGTGAAAATGGATACTATTAGCAATTAATAATAAGATTATAAAGAAACGCTCAATTCTACTTTCCGAAACTTTTGATAGGAAAATAAATTGAATGATTTAAAAAACTTTCTACAATTATATTGTAAAAAAGTGTGTTTTCATTTATTAGTATCCTAACTAATATTATAAATGTGATAATGGGTTTGTTTATTTTTTATTTATTTATCATCAAAAAGTTCTGTAACGCTTTTACGCCTAAACCACTAAATTGGTTGGTAAAACCTGGTAAAAAAAATGGTAAAACCAACTGGATAAATTTATATAGTTTATGATCTAGATTTAAAAAAAACTTATAATATCGCGGACAAAGTCGCGGGCGACCTTCTCTTTATATTAATTAAAAATAATCATCTGAATATATATACGCTTATAACTAACTAAAGACTACACCACATTATTATTATTATTTGCTAACCTCGTGGAAAATTCACTAATCAAAATCCAGTAAAAGTAAAGAGCTCGATGGCGCAGGTGGTTAGCGCGTTCGGCTGCGATCGTTGAAGTTAAGCAACTTTCGCAGTGGTCGGTCATTGGATGGGTGACCGGAAATCTTTTATCTCGAGTTCCTCCGTGATTCGGAAGATACGTTAAGCCGTCGGTCTCGGCTGCATCTGCAGTCGTTAGCACCCGCCAATCCGCACTGGGTCCGCGTGGTGGGTCATGACCCAATCTCCCTATTCCATCCATAGGGAAGGTGTGTGTGCCCCAGCAGTGGGGACATTTATAGGCTGATGATGATACTAAGAACTAATATATAGTGTGATACTGTTTGTTTGCTCCCAATAAATGAAAAAAAAAATATTCTAGGGAAATCCACTAATCAAAATCCAGTTAAACCTCAAAACAAAACTCACGCAATCTTCTCCTCACATTCCCCGCTGTCCTCCTTCTCCTTGGCCACCGAGTCCGTGTTCTCTTCCTCGTCACCGTTATCGGTGGGGGCGGGCACCGGAGTGTTGTCTCGCTCCGCCTGTATGGGCGCGGGCGTGCCGTCCTTGTCGCTCTCCGGTTCGTCCGTAACTACGGGGTTAGACTTCTCCGACGCGTCTGATGGGTTGCGGGACACGTTTACGCCTTAGGGGGGAAACAGATAACAATATATATTATTAAATAAAACTAGTTTTTTCGGGTTAACGCACGTAACTTTATTTATTTATTGACGTTTTCAATATAAAAGTCTTTCGAAGGTAGCTCGACAAATTAAATAAAAGTTTTATTCTGACGACGAAATCTGTAAAGGCTACGAAACGTCAATAAATAAATAAAGTTTCGTGCATTAAGCCGAAAAAACTAGTTTTATTTTATGAGTGATGTGCGTGAAAACCTAAGAAACAAATCTCTTATCTATTAGACAAGTCCGTCCGTCCGTCCGTCCGTCCGTGGTGCTGTTTCAGCGGCCAAACCGTAAGAGATAGATATAGAGAATGTTTAAGTTATAAGTTAAGAATAGTCTGATAAGACTACAAACCGGATGTGAGTAACGTAGCACTTCCGGTTTTCGAGAAATCACGTGATTTCTATTCAAACGAAACCACACAAAATCTCCGAAATTCTCAATTAATTAAATACATTTTTTTTTTGGTGAACATTTGGTTCACTGGTTTGCTAGTAATATATATTATAGTAGTAGATCCTTGTCTTTAAGCATTTAACTGAAAATAATAATAACTAATTACGATTAGTGAATGCGTCCTCTTCTCTATTTGCTGTGCCCTGTTCAGGGTCTGCAATGATCAAAACGATGTACCTACTGAGATCTAAGGAAACCAACCAACCCAATAAAGTATTGATTGATTGATTGAAATTTTACTAGAAAAAATTCCACGCGGACCAGGTAACAGACGGGACGGGATAGTTATCTTAAGATTTAAACATCTAGCAGTTAAATGCTTAACAAATAGAAAAATAAAGCTATAATTGCTATTCCTTATTTCCAATGTTTAATACTTGTAAAGGTATTCATTTGACATTGTGGGTTACATACAATGCGAAGAGATGGCGCTGCCTTGCATCTTTAAAAAATTGAAAAGAATTCGGACAAGGCTATGAGGGCCACGGTAGCAAAATATTGACATGTTTTATTTACAAAGAAAATATAACTAGACAAAATTCCACACGGACCAGGCAGCAGACGGGAATCGTTGCTTTGCAGTTTAAGAATAGCTAGAAGAATTTCGACGCGGCTATCGGTAGCATAATTGGTCAGTGCATTCGCCCGGATAGCGAAGGGTGCGGGTTCGAGTCTCGTCTGCTGCCTGGTCCGTGTATAATTTTTTCTAGTTATATTTTCTTTATACTTAAACATCAAACAGTTATATGCTTTAAAAAAATATATATCTTTTATTTATTTAATATTATTATTATTGAATATATTGACTTGTTATATTTATTTATTATTGATGATGATTATTTGTAAATTAATTTAATGTTAATTGATTGTTTGGTTTTTAATGGGCGATACGGGATGCTGTTGTCCGAAATGAATATTTTTTATTTTTATTATTTTTAAAACTCGTCAGAATGTACTCACCCTCGTCGTCGGTAGACCTGGAGGGTTGGTGTGAGGGGGTGATGGTTTGCTTCAGTTCCACGCGGGCCAACGGAGCTTCTTGGATGCAATTCACCCAACTATAACCAACATTAATAACATAATTAAGACACATTCAAATCATCATTACATTATTACATCGTGTAACAAAAGTAATACAGACCTTGGAAGTAGTTTAGTTGGAATAAGGATGACATACACATCCAAATAAAATACAATAAAATGTTAAGTTACTTCAATATTTTTGAGAGAAATACAATGTCATTATGCAAATGTGATAAACGAGTTGATAGTCAATCTATCTAGCTACATTTTAGCGAAAAAAAGTTTGAAAATTTTTAATATTTTCGTCAATGCCATTAAAAAAACCAATTCAAGAGAGAAATATTGAAAAAAAAACATTTTATAATTTTTTTTAGCAACCCTAATGAATTTCAAAAAACGTTTCAAATGAGTTGTAGGCAATCAAGTGAACTACCTAGGGTTTACGGTTGGACCATTACTTACGGGACACCCTGTATAATCTGTTCCAAACAAATTTAGACCAAAAGTAAAAAAAAGGTGGGTAAGTCTGACCATAGACAGTTTAGTGTTGGGGATTCATAGAGCCTTATCAAAATCAGTTGATCAATTGAATGATCATATTTTTAGAAACGACGAGATCTATAAGGCATAATAGGGTATTTGACAATATTCAAAATAAAGTGCCAATTGTTAGCATCTGTGTTTAGAATGAATATTGGCAGGGGTTTTTACTATTTTTACAAATAAATATTCATAATTTTACTAAAAACCCACGAAAAATATAATGGTTTTCTTATCTATTGTCACATGACCCAAAACGCTTGGGATTGGCGGACCCTAAAATGACATCACACACAAGTAAACTTCCGGTTAAAGTGACATTACATTGTATCGTTTGACGTTTTAATAACAGTCGTGTGACGTCACACACTAGTAAGACGCCATATTGTCCAGAAAAACGTTTTCGCGGCAACTTGAAAATGAAGTTTTTGATTTGGTTATTTTTACTGAAATACACAAAAGAATGATGAATATCCACTTTTTACGGATTCCATGAACATTATTCAATAATGTGAGATCGTTTTCTAAAACTTGTCAAATACCCTATTTGTAGCATTAATATTTTTTTTATTGTCATTACTCAAAAAAGAACTCTGGATGTTAACTGTATTTGGCAATATAGTTAACTATATTTCGTTACATAATAAAATTCTTTTTGAACAATATTGAATATCTAGGTTCGTCGTAGTCGTATATTTGTCAATTATATATGCGTCTGTGCTATAAGTAAATCAAAACTATACCACTTTTACATTTTAACATCCAGGATGAAACAATAAGCGAATAATTAAAAATCATTTTGAATAGACTTTTCGGTGCAACGCTGTTCAACCATAGACACTAGACAATTCTCATCTTTCAAAATAACCTTACTTGTCGATAAGTTTTTATTTTATATTGTTCATATATTTATAAAGAAATATGTGCTATAAAATAAAGTGAATTAAAAAGTCAAACCCCAAGGAATGCAAGTGAATGTGCTGGGAAATCAATTTAGTGAGTCATTGCGTGGGAATTAGGTTGTTTGTTACTTTTGGTCTAAATCTAGTCTCTATTCGTTTTTCTATAAAAAAAACTAGTGGCCCGCCCTCGCTTTGCTTCAGTGTAGAGCTGTAGTGTAGAATTCGATTTTTTCTCACTTTTTAAACCTTCCCTAGACCTCCACGAACATTTCAAGACCAAGATAAGATAAATCCGTTCAGCCGTTTTCGAGTTTTAGCGAGACTAACGAACAGCAATTGATTTTTATATATATAGACTAGCTGACCCAGCGAACTTCGTACCGCCCTAAAAAAATAGGGGTGGTCCAGCGGACAAAATTGTGAATCTAAACCATTCTCAGATCCCCTTGAACACACACAACAAAATTTCATCAAAATCGGTCCAGTCATTTAAGAGAAGTTCAGTGACATACACACTCACAGAAGAATTATATATATAAAGATTATATTGAATAGGGTATTTGACAGTATTAAAAATAAAGAGCCAATTGTTAGCATCTGTGTTTAGAATGAATGTTGGCAGGGTTTTTTACTATTTTTACAAAAAACATATTCATAATTTTGCTAAAACCCACGAAAAAGATAATAGTTTTCTTATCTATTGTCACGTGACCCAAAATGCTTGGGACTGGCGGAGCCTAAAATGACGTCACACGCAAGTAAACTTCCGGTTAAAGTGACATTACATTGTATCGCTGGACGTTTTGATAACAGTCGTGTGACGCCACACATTAGTAAGACGCCATATTGTCCAGAGAAACGGTTTCGCGGCAACTCGAAAATGGAGTTTTTGATTTGGTTATTTTTACTGAAATACACAACAGAATGATGAATATCCACTTTTTAAGGACTCCATAAACATTAGTCAATAACGTGAGATCGTTTTCTAAAACTTGTCGAATACCCTATTGCCGATAAATATAAGGATACCTAAAAATTGATATATTTTGTTAAAAACAACTCACGTAGTATACTCAGCGGCGGTGTTGGCGGATAGTTCATGCATTTGCACCCCGTTGATGTTCATCAGGAAGAAAGTGTTGCGGACCGCCGCGTTCGGACGAAACAGGACCTTATCCCTGTTGGATATAAGGGTGGTTTTAGTAAGAACAGAACTGAAAATCAGCGATCTACTCTATGAGTAAATATTTCGCTGAGTTTTCGCCCATTCGCATCGCTGCTACACACGAAAATATCATGGTATAGTTGTATACATATTATTTGTTGTCCGTTTTAAAGGATTTATCTTATTGTAAAATTTGTCTTTTCAATTTATATATATTGGTATCAATTCTGGCATGATTGTCTTAACTTAAAACTAAATTTAACATCAGTCTCTCCTTTTCATTATGTATAGAGAATGACAAGGATGTACTGTTGTCAAAATTAAGTTTAGCTTTAGAGAATCACGCCAGAATCGACATCATTATAGATTTTTTTGGCAAAATAAAAGATTATTATTATTATTAGTGTCTGGGTGTTTACGTACCACTTGATGATAGGCGACAGTAGCCCGTGCTGATGCGGCAGCGGGCGCAGAACGAAACGTTCCCCCTCACGAAGCAATAGTACCAGCATATCGGGGAACATTAGGGCCTGAGGAATGTGTCATTAATGTATCATTACTCAATGATAATAAAATAAAACCTATAACTTTAAATAGATTTAGAAAAATTATGACACCATACCTTTCTTTTATAATCATCATCATCAACCTATTAAGGTCCCCACTGCTGGGGCACAGGCCTTCCCTATGGATGGAATAGGGAGATTGGGCCATGACCCACCACGCGGGCCCAGTGCGGATTGGCGGGTGCTTACGACCGCAAATGCAGCCGGGACCAACGGCTTAACGTGCCTTCCGAAGCACGGAGGAGCTCGAGATAGTAAACTTTTGGTCACCCATCCAATGAGCGACCACTGCGAAAGTTGCTTAAGTTCAACGATCGCAGCCGAACGCGCTAACCACTAGCGCCATCGAGCTCCTCCAACCGTTCCATACAATTTCTTTTATCACAAGCGAAAAAAAGTTTGAAATATTTCAGTTATCCAGCATGGGTGTAACCAGTGGATCTACTGAGGGGGACAAATCTTCCAGATCAACCATGTATATAGCCAATGGATCTACTGAGAATGATCGATTAAAAATTCTTGTCAAATTAACGTGATATTTTATTGTCAGGGGCCGTTCAAGTATTACGTAAGCAGATTTATTACAATTATTTACCCCCTCCCCCTCCCCCTCTCCAGCTAAAGTAAGCAAAGCTCTTACTCCCCCCCTCACGTGCTTACGTAAACATTGGTACCTTTGCATTTTTCCTTTAATGTATTCTGTTTTTTTTTTATTCGTTCATGAGCTTTCATGAGCTTCATGAGCAGCAGTACTTAAATAGGCTTAGGATAGAGGACTTTAACGCACATAATATTCATTGAAACAAACTTTATTGACACAGTATTCAACATTGAGTAAGGTCCTATTACGAACAAAACCGACTTCTTTCGAATTTTTGGTGCTGACGTAATCATTAACTCGACCCCCCCCCCCCCATGTCATCAAAAATAAGCAACGCAAAAACCCGCCTGCCCCCTTATATTGCTTACATAATACTTGAACGGCCCCTCATAATAAGACATAAAAGTGAAGTATACTGACTATGACAGCAGTCCTTTTATGTTGCTCCAGCCTTAAAGTCAATTCTCCCTCCAGCCTCAAGTTCCTCGTGTGTAACTCTAATCTTCTCAGCTCCTCCCACTCATTGCCATTGGCCCTCACTTCGAGCTTCGCCTGGATGTTTCGTAACCTGACCACAAACAAACGGACAAAATGTATAAACAGAACACAAAAACAAAAGTTTGTTGTATCGTCTCTCATTTCATTATCCTTAAAATATGATATCACCTTTCAAAACCTCTTGTCAATCAAATCTAACCTCTATAATTACACCTATGAGGTTCACATTCGTACCTGTGCTCGTTCTCAGTAGTTCTGATAGCTTGGTCGACGCTGAGTAGCATGTCTTTAGCGCTGTCTAAAGACTTCTGCAGTAATTCGACGTCTTCTGCCGAGTCCTCATCTTCTGATACTGTTTTTAATACACTCTCTAGTAACAGCCGGTATTTCGTTAGCCTGCAATAAAACATTATCATTATAATTAGCATATTAATATTCTATTGCAGATGCTAGTTTTTTTACAAATTGTGGTCTGTGAAAATAGCAGATTTCTGCCAACGTCAAAAAACCCCTGTCTGTGGAAGTGGCGGATTTCTGCCACGCATACACTGAACAATATTTATATATAGAATAGATAAATAGATGCAAAAACTCTTTAAGACATAAGTGAATACAATAGGTTCAGTAGAACTCGAAATATAATAGTTTTTTTGAAGCGCGGGAACCAAAAGGGTTTGACTGCCATTTTGTTTACGCAGTTTAGGGGATAATAGACTATTTGGCAAGTTATTGAAAACGTTCATACGTCCTTATTAGTGTATAGTGACTCCATAAAAAAGATATATTTATAATACTGCTGCGTAAATCCCTAATATTCATGTTAAATACACATGAAAAAAATTCAAACTTTTATTTTACACACTGTCAAATTGCTTATTAGACAGTTTTTTAAACTGGTTCAGTCCCTGTAGCATGAGCCCCACAATTTACATTATATCACGTTTTTAATATATAAATACTAACTTTCAAACAACATAGTGACAATGAGCGTGATAAATACGCATTATATATCATATCTGGTTATATATCCAGATTCTGGTGAATTGTGCGTGTCCCAACAAATAATGTAACACCTTTTGTACCACTTTTCTTGCAAATAAATAAATTATTAATAATTATTATTATTATTATCGCGATGACCATGCTAGTAGATATCAACGCCCCAACCTAATGCCTATTGTTAATACAACACTGCTAAAATAATGTGTAAATTAAAAGTTATAACAATTTCATAGAAACAAACGTTTTATTATTTATTTACATTCAGTGATTTGTGACGCTTACATAGAGATAACTATTATTTTCTAACTAATTCTTAATAACATTCCGTAAACTAAGTTTGATCTCACCTCTGCCAAACGCAAGCGAGTAGATCCCTCAGCTGCAGTCTCCCGCAGAGGGGCAGCTGTTCCCGGCTGGACAGAAACTGATGTAACTCTTTGTTCTTGCGCCGCCTCTCCCGCAACGATTCCAGCGCTAACCTCTGCCCGCGACAGAAACGGGACAAACTAGCCGCGTACGATGGCTCTCCCAACTGATGGGGGAAAGGAAATTATATCAGACTAGCTGTCCCAGCGAAATTCGTACCGCCATAAAAAATAAGGGTTGGTGGTAGAAGGGTGAAAATTTAGGGTTGTATGTATTTTTGTATGATTTATCATAAAAAAATTAAAAAAATATTATCTAAAATTGAAAAAGAAAAATTTAGGGGTGGATTACCCTTAACATTTAGGGGGATGAAAAATAGATGCTGTCCGATTCTCAGACCTACCCAATATGCACACAAAATTTCATGAGAATCGGGAAAGCCGTTTCGGAGGAGTTTAACCACAAACACCGCGACACGAGAATTTTATATATTAGATTTCATATGTTTAAAAATTACCGTAGCCTCCTGACACCTGGTGTCCTTTATAAAGTGCTAAATAAACCGTACACTGAAGACCTTTAAGTATACGAGGCGCTATTTGAAAAAATATTGTATGAAAGAATCCAGCTCGAAGGACTCGTTCTAGTAAATAAGGGCGCAGCGCAGATTGTGTTTACATTAATTGCCAACATCAGCTATTATTAAATATCAAGTTATGGAAAAAAAAATATCATTGTCCATATTCATAATCCGTATATTGAGTGTGTGAGCTTCCATTTTCACCCAATAGATGGCGTTAAACTTGACATTTAATTGTACACTATTTCAAAGAAAATTCAGAACGTAATCTACTATTTCATCAATGAATGAACGTTGTTCTACTAGGAGGAACAAACATTAAACTCTCACCTGCTTAGTACAAAACGCGAACCAAAGTCAGTCCTAGTTTAAACCTAATGTTGACTTTGGATTCTTTTTAGCAAACTAAAGTGACAGCAGCATTTTTAGTCCAGCCCCTCTAGCATGACCACCGAAAAGAGATATGATAAAGCGATATATCGGCATTAAGAGCCCTTTCACATTTTTTGCAAAATATCGTAACTTTTGAGCGCCTCATTTACGCTCTTAGAAAAGATTTTGGCTATTTCCAATAGAATTAACTTCCTATTGTAAGTTAATGTAGAATATTTGCAAATACTATTTTCCTTTTTTTGTACTGATCGTTCTACTGCAGTTAGTTTACAGAAAAAACGATAATATGCACAACTTCAAACGCCTGAATCTCTCAATAACGTTCAATAAATTAGATCAAATTAATTAATAAGACATCAGAAATATGTTTTTGTTGAAACATAATGTATTAGAATTTTGATTTTCTATCTTATTAATTATAAAAAAAAAAAATCTAACCTCCGTGAGTTTTCCCACAAAATAATGCAGGTTTACCTCATATTTTGATATTGAATTAAATAGAATAACTATCAAAACTAATCTACCAGCACTGAACTACAGAAATATGTATATATTGTTATAATTAATTCATTGGGAATTATGTTATAAGACTCTAAACATCACCCGTAAAATGCAATATAATTATACTAGTGCAAATCTACCTACGCGCCGATTAGTACGGCAGCGGTGCAATTTTGTAAAAGGGCTCTTAACTGTCAGACTACTGTCGACAGTAGTCCGACAATTAATGCCGATATATCGCTTTATCATATCCCGATTGGGTGGTCATGTTAGAAGGGCAGGTTTAACTTTAGTTTACATTTTGTAGGTCGTAATAATCCTAAAAAGTGTTAACCTAATTAATACTTTGAAATTAATTGAATTAATACCCTAATATTTAATCATTTAAATTAATACCCTAGTTAATACCACCTAATTCACTTATAGCTATGAAAAATTCCCAATTAAAAACTCACCGTTCCGAGCAAAGCTTGAGCCAACGCCCTCAACGACAGCTGATGCGCCGGCGCCGCATTCCTCGCCGCTCTCAGCCTCTGGTGCAACGCCTGGTGCCAGTCTCTCACTTCCGGCAAGTTGGGGAACAACGCCTTCAAGTCATCGGGGGGGAGGAGTGCCGGCGCGGATTCTAACGGTCGAAGGAATACGCGACAGAGGACTTTCAGCCATCGCACGTGAGAGCCTTCCGACACTATCATCTCTGTGACAATAGAAAATCATACTGCTAGAGTACAGACGTTAACTATGAATGGAATAGGAAGAACGGATCATGCCATGACCACGCAGATTCAACACTGATTCAAGGGCGGATCCAGCTTTGGCGCCAGAGGGGGGGTCATATAGCCAGCTTTGGCGCCAGGGGGGGGGGGTCATATAGTCGTGGTATATTAAATATTGAAAGTACTTAAATAAAATCCCCCTGGGTTTGGTCCATCTGTACCCAGCCCAGAGGGGGGTCATGAACCCCATAACCCCCCCCCTGGATCCGCCCTTGCACTGATTCATCATCATCAGCCTATAATGACCCCACAACTGGCACACAAGTTTTCCCTATAGATGGTATGATAATAGACACCGAACACTATTAGGGTATTTATGTTCTCAATGCAGGAGCAAACGTGTTAACGATAGATAGAATTCAAAGATCATCATCATCATCATCATCATCCATGATATGTCATGCGAGTTCAATACCAATTCATCATCAGCATGTAAAAGATCCCACTGCTGGGGTGTAGGCCTTAACTATGAATAGGATACCCATGACGCGGTTCAATAGTGCTTTATCATCATTACCAACCTATAAATGAATCTATTGCTAACTTAGAGACCCAGGCCATATGGAGAACGAGTCATGGCCCATCATAGGCTTGTCGAAAATATATCGATGTATCGATATATATCGATATTTTTTGCCGATATATTTTGATTCGATATATCGATACAAAATAACCAATATCGAAATTCGTATCAAAAACGATATTTTTTTTAATTATTAGCGGTATATCACGATCTTACTAAATTCTTATCCGGAAAAATCGTAACTGGATCTCAGATTAATGATATACAACATATCTATGATCTGAGCTGTATTTAGTATTGTCTATGTCATCATTCGAAAATAGGGTCTATTTTTAGGGAGATAATTTTCGTTCCATTATTATTTCGCGTGTCATATTTCGTGAGCTACTGTACGATATTTTTGGGAAAATTGGTCCGATATATCGATATATCGATGTTTTTTTCGCGATATATCGAAGCCGATATTGATATTTTTTAAAATATCGATGTATCGATATTTTTTTCAACTTTCGACATCCCTAGCCCATCACGGCACCAAGTCTTTCCGTATGGATGAAATAGAGAGTGTGGACCAAAACTCAGCCGAAACCAACGGCTTAAAGTGTATTCCAAAGCACGGAGGAGTAAGAGATAATACTCTTAATTTATTGATCGTCCCTATCTTCTGGCAGGTTGAGGAAAAACGGCTTCAAGTCATCAGGGGGTAGGAGAGCCAGCGCGGATTCCAACGGTCGAAGGAATACGCGGCATAGGAGTTTCAGCCATCGCACGTGCGATCCTTCCGATACTATCAGCTCTGTGACAATAGATACCAATCGTAAGAATATTGATGTCCCCACTGCCTTAACTATGAATATGCAGAACAAGCCATGACCACGCGGGTTCAGATGAATACGTGCACATGTTCATCACACGATGTAGAAAAAAGATGATTTTATAATTTCCACCACCCACACGTAGCACCATTTAGATATGCTCGCCAATATCTTATTAAAAAAAATTCGCTTCATTACTTTAATTATAAACAATGTTTTCTCGCAAATGTGTTGAAAACGTTGCATGACATTCATGCAGATTCGTCTACTCGTTTCTAATAACCAACTTACCGCACTAATATCATAAATAAGTAATAGTTTAAATTTGTTAATATGTGTGTGTACTTGTGAGTATTCTTTAATTAAGTTAAAACAATGTCAAAAATGCATTATGTACCGCCTGGTGGTAAACGCTAGCTAGACGCTTGCGATGCCAAAACTATCTACTATAAATTCTTTGTAAAGCCCTGGAACTTTACTAACCGACAGAAACAAAACACCACCAAAAGGTAGTGTTAATTTACTGTGGTCTCCTGTAAGGTGGAGGTTACTTCCCCAGACGAGCTCTCACCAAATGAAGTAGAAAACCAGCTTTGCCCTGCATATTTATTAAGCTATTAATATGCATTTGCGTGCAGATGTCTGCGTATGTGTTTGTGACTGTGCATACGTGTGTTTATGATTGTGTGTGTGTGTGTGTGTGTGTGTGTGTGTGTGAGTGTGAGTGTGTGTGTGTGTGTGTGTGTGAGTGAGTGTGTGTGTGTGAGTGTGAGTGTGTGTGTGTGTTTAACTTAACATGTATGTGTGTGTGTAACTTAAAATCATGTATGAGTGTGTGTGTGTGTTTAACTTAAAATCATGTATGAGTGTGTGTGTGTGTGTGTGTAACTTAAAATCATGTATGAGTGTGTGTGTGTGTTTAACTTAAAATCATGTACGACTATATACGAGTGTAGTATCGTATGGCATCTCACCGTGTATAACCTCCTGCCGTTTCCTGAGCCTGGAGCTGAGCTGCAGCGAGTCCAGCACGTGCGCGGGGAGGCTGTCGGCCCACTGAGGGGCCAGCGGCTCTTCTTCGTCAGACCATTCCGACTGCGACGCTGCACGGGAAGAGAAACAATTGTCTTGTAGCTTGTTTTTCAATGTATCCATTTCTGGAGCACACGCTTTCCAATACGGCACGGTGGACAACTAATCAACATCGGTCTATCATCATCATCAGCCTATTGATATCCCTACTGCTGGGGCACAGGCCTTCCCTATAGATGGAATAGGGAGATTGGGCCATGACCACGCGGGCCCAGTGTGGATTGGCGAGTGCTAACGACTGCAGATACAACCGGGACCAACGGCTTAATGTGCCTTTCGAAGCACGGAGGAACTCGAGATAGAAGATTTTTGGTCACCCATCCAATTACCGACAACTGCGAAAGTTACTTAACTTCAACGATCGCAGCCGAACGCGCTAATCACCTGCGCCATCAGTCATCCGAAACGGTGGGTGCCAATGTAGATGCAGCCGGAACCAATTGCTTGACGTGCCTTCCAAAGCAAGGAGGAATGAGAGATAATAAAGTTTTGGTCACCCATGCGATGACCGGCCATTACAAAAGATGCTTAAAACTACTGCATCATCGAAGCCCAAAATCATATATAAAAAACGAAAGAAAGAATAAACAATTCAAAATATTAAACTATCCTGCATATTAGACCGTTTTTACGGGATCCGATGTCGCTGGTTAGAACTTAAAGCTACGTTCTGTGATGCACTATTTTATATATATGGACAGGTAGGCAAATGACTCTACCTCACCTGATGTTAAGTGGTGATAAAGTCCAAACGCGAAGATAGCTGGTACAGCAGTTATAAACTACCACACCAACCATCCTCACCTTGCCGGCCCGCAAAAATGCTTCTTCACGCCAAGGAGGGAACACGTGCGCGGGCAAAGCAAACTTACGAATAGTACGACGAAGAAATGAGTCACCAAATTTCTTTGTTGTAACCATAACTTTGTAACATTCGTTTAACATTGTGGATTTTTTTGCAACAGTAAAACCGGGGTTCTTTTTAAATATAATCCACGGCAAAATGCTAAATAATACCAAAGCTTTAACTTGTATCTAATTTCCTACCATCTTTTTAGTTTTAGTCCGACTGTGATCAAGATTTAAAGTTAATTACCAAGTTTGTTACCTTGCTGGTCGGCGGCGACAGTGTTGCTCTCATTACTTCTAGAAGAGAGACTGGAACTGCTCGAAGACCCAGACGGTGCGGTGACCGCGCCTGGCTCCAAGTCACTGCGGGCAAATTAACAACAATCACTAAATCATCAGCTCATCATCGGCCTATCAATGTCCACGCTGTTGAGACACAGGCCTTTTCTATGGATGAAATAGGAAGATCGGGCCGTGACCCATCACGCGGACCCAGCACGGATCGCTAGGTGCCAACGGCTTAACATGCCCACCGATGCACTGAGGAGCTCTAGATAATAAGCATTTGGTCTCACTCGCACGCAGCCGCCATATTGTTTGTTGTGACTGTGAGTGAGTGTGTTGGGTCTATATTTAGTTACTTAAATTTCATCATTAAGTATCAAAATACGAATAATAACAAATGAATTACTTGGTGGGGACCAAGTAAGTACCATAATTTATTTTCCCATTTGAACTTAAATTGTTCTCACGTCCCGATAGGGGCGCTGCTTAGTATACATAGAAACCTTGACGTTGGCGATACGAATACGGATCTGTCAGAGTTCGTGCTTGGGGTACTGATCACAATTGCGCTTTCGAGCTCCACTATAATTTCTTACTAATTCTAAAGAAAGAAAAAGATTTTATTATAAACCCAAATTATAGAAATATAACAAAATTCTAACCAAAAACAAAATAAAAGATAGAAGTAACAATAAGGGGTTAATCAGGACCCTTTTTCAACATAAGCTGGTGACAGCACTAATGTTTAATCCCTGTAGCATTAACAGTTTTTTTTATCGTGTTTAACCGTCAAACTCCATAGTAATTTGACAATTGAGCGTGATAAAAACGCGTTATATACCATATCGCGGTGCTCATGCTATGGGGGCTCACAGGACCACTAGTACTATAAAACAGAAACCGTTTCCCAACTCCACGGATAAAAGAAAAAAGTTTCTGACCGACAATAAAAGAGTGGAGTAAACTGTTCTTACTAAATAAACATATAATAAAGAAATTAAATTATATAATTTGCTAAAATACATATTCACACAGTGATATTAGGACAATAAAAATAAACAGATTTCTTGAAACGGTAACAGTTGAAAAATCTACTGGTTGGAAAACTTTCTTCAAATTATAAACAAAACTGCCTTTTTAAATACAACGCACAAGTCATAAATCTACTTAGTGCGAGAAGAACCTTCATAATTGACACTAAATATCGATATAAATACCGAACTATTGACTATTAAAGTTCACATACAATGAAGAATTGAAATAGTTTTGTACACATCATGAATTCATTCATTAGAACAAACGTAAAACTATGAATGAAATAATTAAACAATCCATCATGCACTTTGTAAACAACACCGATCGCTAAACTGTTATTGAAACATTAGCTTTCATAAAATTTAAACACGCAGTACCTGATATTGATGCACGCAAAATTTACATGTCAAATTATAACTACGATTTATTATAAATAAAAAATTAACAATAAATGGGTACTGTTAATGCCCATCCACGTCACTTTTTTCTGTATCAAACGTACGGTCAAAACGACAACAAAAGCATTAACAAAAATACACAGTCAAAATTCCCATAATTCCGCAAACTCAAATCCAATAATATCAAGTTTAATATTCCATACTGTATACTGTCCACAGCTGCAATTTTTAACATACTAACATTGATGCTAGCAGCACTTCTTATGTTAACTCTAAAGCACCATAAAACATAAAAACAGCCATCGAAATGATCTCATCAAAACTCTGCCCGAACCGAACGACAGCACACGTGAATCAACCTACCAACATCAATGTCAAAGAAATTGCTAAACCAACAGCCGTAACTCCAGGAACGGAGGCAAATTGTCCAAAAATAGTTTGCGACGCGTGCAGCGGTATACAGAAAGGTCACCGCGAGGAAACGGGACTTAAAACACGCGCGGGATGTGTACAAAGTCGTAAACATGAAGCAATAGTCGCGGGTAGGTAGGCTACTATAAGGAACTAACCTCTTTCATTCACGGATCAAAGCTGATTTAAAAATGGAGTGGATTCTTATTATCAGCGATGGAGCCGTAAAAAGAAAAGGAATGTAAGAGAGATTCAAATACTTTGAATGAAGAAAGATTATTATATTTTACAGATTCTTAAAAAACACCTATTGCAATCTCGATTTTGAAATCCAATAAAACTGTTAAACATATTTTAAAGGAAATTAACAAAATACTTTCCTGTAGTAAAACAACAAACCATTTTAACCTGGGAAATGTAAATCGACTATCTATTTAATAAAAAAAAACATAACTATAAGTGAGTACGCTCTTAAAGATAAAGTTAGAGATAACTTTGTTTAGAAAATATTTACATTAAAACCACAGGTAAATAACAACAACTTAACTCGAATGCGGACTGTAAACGACAGGTTAACGACAGCGACATTACGCCCTGTCGTAAGTCACGCAACATTGAATTAATGCTACCATTAAGTAGCATATGAAAAGTGCTAAATATATCTGAAGCATGTAAACAAGAAACGGCACATGTAACATTAAATGGCTTTTGCTAATAAAATGAAAATAAAACCCGTATTGTAACATCACCATTAAAATTTACTAAAGTTTCAAGGAAGCAATGGAAAAAGTAAGATATCTTTATCAAGATTCCTGATAAAGAGCAAAGTGATAAAAATATCATATACGATGTTCTCAAGAAATCATTTAATGTGTTTTAATTCGGGACGATAACTGTACATTACACTTATCGTTTGTTCCAAACTTTAAAAGGCTTGTACTCTAAGTCTCAGTAATGGCTACATGAAATCGATGATTAATAAGGCCAGCTTACATCGTGCTAATCCGATGTTCACACAACCCTATATACAATGCCCAACTAACATCTAATCTGATGACGTTAAGGTCATGTACGAAAACAGCATGCTTATTCCAAAATCAACATCTTTCTTCATTTCAGTCTTCCTACAATGATGAGATCAAATTATTGTCCAGAATACACAGACTTAAATCCACCACACCAGCCCGGCGCATACAAGAATATCCAACACAAACCTATCCGTGAACAAGAGTTTGCTGGCGTATCCCTTTTTCTTTTCACTTCAAATTCAACTTGGCTAGCATAAACGCAATAACAAAAAGAAAATTCTTAATAAAAAATTAAGTGCCATTGTGTTAACTACGAAAACCTTATGGTATACTTGATCAATCACACTGATAAATCCAAAACGACTTTTACTTTCTAACGTGGAAAAATAAAAGTAAAACATTAGGAGTTGAGTGGAAACATTACACTCTGAATAACAGTTACCAAGTTTAATTGGAATTACAATGAGTCTAGACAGACAGACCGTATTGCAACAGCCATAAAAATAAACCTTCGTCTGAACTGCAATTTCGTTACTGAAATAACAGTTGAAATGCAGTCCTAGTCGCGAAAGGAAGTAAGGAGTTCAAACATTACTCAAAATAGCAAATTTATGAAAATAAATTGAACTTCAAAACATCAATCAATCAAACCTATATACCAAAAATTACCGATTTCAATTTATCAAAATGATAGGAAATTTAACTTCAAAGGATTATCAAATTAGCAATTACTTACGCAAGTCAGAAGGCTACAAAACTTTCCGACACATATCCCCCGGGCGTTATATCTGACCTAGAATTAGTTTGAAGCAATTATCAACAATTCTATGAAACCCTCTCTCAGAAGTAACTAATAGACAGCAAATAACATTATAATTGTTACCTGTCATGTGTAGCGGAAAATTGTATTAATTAAAACAAGAGAGGCAAGGCCTAGTAGATTACCGTTCAAATTGGAGCGCTCATCTAGCGAAGTAATCACGTTACCGAAGACCGCATTGAAATGACACTTCCTTTTGGTGGTGTTGTGTGTATTTCTGTCAGTGTGTTTTGGAGG